TGGTTGATTAAGCAAGTAAGTCAATGGGTTCTAAACCATTTACCTGTAGGCGCCAACATGGGTGGACAAGCTATCTGGTTGATTAAGCAAGTAAGTCAATGGGTTCTAAACCATTTACCTGTAGGCGCCAACATGGGTGGACAAGCTATCTGGTTGATTAAGCAAGTAAGTCAATGGGTTCTAAACCATTTACCTGTGGGTGCCGACATGGGTGGGCAAGGTATTTGGTTGATTAAGCAAGTAAGTCAATGGGTTCTAAACCATTTACCTGTAGGCGCCAACATGGGTGGACAAGCTATCTGGTTGATTAAGCAAGTAAGTCAATGGGTTCCAAACCATTTACCTGTGGGCGACAACATGGGTGGACAAGCTATCTGGTTGATTAAGCAAGTAAGTCAATGGGTTCTAAACCATTTACCTGTGGGCGCCAACATGGGTGGACAAGCTATCTGGTTGATTAAGCAAGTAAGTCAATGGGTTCTAAACCATTTACCTGTAGGCACCAACATGGGTGGACAAGCTATCTGGTTGATTAAGCAACTAAGTCAATGGGTTCTAAACCATTTACCTGTAGGCGCCGACATGGTTGGGCAAGGTATTTGGTTGATTAAGCAAGTAAGTCAGTGAGTTCTAAACCATTTACCTGTGGGCGCCGACATGGGTGGGTTCTGCTTAACTGTGTAGTAGGAGGGAAGTGGTGGTCTTATGTGTTGCTGGGCTGGAACTGAAACAATGGAGGCCAGGGAAAGTCATTAGCATCATTGAAAGATTTGACATGAGGAAACATTCTATGCTGGCTGACTGCTCGCTTTATGCTGATTGTTTGAAGGGCAAGGACAAAATTAGACACAACAAGAAAAGGTTAAAAATATCTCTCATATATATATATATATACAATATATTTGGGGGAAAAGGAATTTACAGATCATGTGATAGCCTGGCTGAGACACAACAGTAATTTAGGTTAAAATTTATGGCACATCATCTAACAGTGTACACAGCGTGAGAACCTGTAGCTTTTACAGAACAGTTTATCTCAAATTCATTTGAAGCAAATGACAATGTCATCGAAATGCCACTGTGTAGCCCCATAAATCACACCAAAGCTGTTACAGAAAACTATTAGAGTATCCATAATATTAATGCGTCATCCAATATGTTATGTCAAAACACTTTGAACAAGCCACATCATAACACACAACGTCTCATGCTTTAATCTACATCACTAAACCTCACAGTTTTATCATCGCAGTCACATGAACAGCAAAACCAACAAGTTTCACGGCACTGAAGAGAATTATTTGACAACATAAAAAAAAGTTAAGTGTGGGAAACATTCTGACGTTCAGCCCTATCCCATAAATGCAATGTACCCCCAGTTATAAATACAATGTGCCCCAGTTATAAATACAATGTGCCCCAGTTATAAATACAATGTACCCCATTTATACATACAAAGTGCCCCAGTTATAAATACACTGTACCCCCAGTTATAAATGCAATGTACCCCCAGTGTGCCCCAGTTATAAATACAATGGCCATCCTAGCACATTATGTATTCTAGATGGGATTGCAATACTGTACCTCTGCAATGACTAAAAACAGTTTCAATAGTGTTTACAATTTTTTTAATGCTGCTTCTAAGATAGCCCCCAGTTCAGATGCACTGTTTTCACAAACCCTAGGGCCACCCCTGCATACATTTTAATACATTTCTATGACATTGTTAAATGATGACACTGAGAAATAACTTGGGATAGCTAAAACAGTTTGAAATGGATCCAAGGCTGAACATCAAAATGCTTCAACAACACGTCTAACACACCCACCAGGGTTCTGACTGTACACATGTGTCGGGACGGTGAACCTTCTGTGCTGGGGAGGGGACATGTTAGAACCAATGCTGCCTGAGCCGATGCTGCCGTGACCCGAGTCATTCTCTGAGGAAGACTGGTTTTTAAAACCGTGGATGCTACTCGTTGGACTGGCTGAGTCGGTGGAACCCATGGAACCTGGGATAGTAAATATGGTGATGAAGGCTACGATGCATGCTTTCTAAACTCTAAAAATCATTAACAGGGGTTTATTCTCTGAAATTTGTTGCCAGCAGTTGCTTGATGGCCAAACTGGGATATTGGAACATCTCAGTGAACTCAGCCATGGCTAAACA